TCTAGTAAATAACTACCGAGAGAGGTCTGTTGGTTGTTAGCAATTTTGTAATCTACACTGAACTAACACTTTATGTCTGTATTACACAATTATAGCTTCCTGTTACAACTTTAAATATCATGGCTCATCCCAGGGAGCTCTGGGATTTTTAGTATGGGGAGATACTTGAAATTTTCTACTAGGTTGCTCCGGTGCACTCCAAACTGAACTAGAGCACTTTCTAGCAGAGAATTCTAAGTACCTTGCCAAACTACAGGCTCCAGGATTCTGTTGGATGGACCCATACTTTTTCTCCATAAATCAACAACTGGAAGTTAGAGGCTACATCATCATTATTTTCTTTGCCAAACAATGGAAAGTTGCCATCAGAACTTCAACGGATTGACCATCAACTTATAGTGACTTCATGAATTTCACATATATTTTTTTAGGCAAGGAATACAGTGGGCCCTTGGTATCCACTGGGATTTGGTTCCAGGACTTCCCCTGGTTACTAAAATCAGTGGGTACTCAAGTCCCATCATATACAATGGCATAGTAAAATGGTGTCTCTTATTTTAAAAAAAATGGCAAAATCAATACATTTTGGAATTTATATATTTTGTTAATATTTCAAGTTGTGGATGCTTGAATCCATGGACAGGGAGAACACACTGTACTGAGCTGGATTTTGCCAGTTTCTTCCTCTGAAATATAGCCCACAGCACCTGGTATTCATTAGTGGCATCCCATCGAAATATTAAACAGGGCTGACCCTGCTTAGCTTCCAAGATCAGGCAGGATGTGGTGTTTTTAAGATATTTAAGTCCTCCCATAGCATTTATCAGGTCTCAAAATCAATGGACACCTACAGAGATGTTACCGCTTTAATGGAGAATTACAGTGCTTGAAAATTGTCATTGAAGCAGCCGCCCTATTCCCATGCCCTCCAGAAGTGTTGGTTTACAACTCCCATCATCACCCAGCATGGCAATGGGTTGGGGCAGGCTGTACTAAAGCAGTGCCTCTAGATCACTGCTAAAGCAGCAGGAAAGGAATCTCATCAGAGGGTTGTTTGAATGAAAAGAAGACAATTTACAGAAAGAATGGAAGACCATGGATGGTTGGGGAAGAGGTTAGAGCAAATGGTCCAGGTAGTAGACATCTGAGGGATGTGGCTTCAAGTTGGCAAGGTAATGCAACGGATGTGGTTCAGCACAATGTTGCCTGTGGCAAAGGAAAGGAAAATTCCTTGCCAGTTCTAGATATGATCCAGTCAAGCTCAAATTCCAACTTTTGATTAAGAGATATTAGCTAAAAGAAAATGTTTACAGAAGAGTGCATGTTTGTTTTTAGGCAAAGTCGAAGAAATGAACTGCAAGGGAAGGAAGGAAATTAAACACGCAGCTCATGTTGGCTATGCAAAAAAAGCGGGGAGAATCAGACATGAGTAATGCACAAGAGGATACAAGTACCAGGTGTTTAGTGAGGTAGAAGGAAAAACTCGTGATTTAATCTATATATGTAAGAGTGGAACATATACCGTCTTTGTAAAATGGAAACACTGTTGCATCCCAGGAAGCCATCAAGACTTGGTTCACATATTGTACAGAAACAGAAACCCTTGAAAATGCTGCTTTTTCCATTTGTTTTGATTTTATTTGTGATATCAGGGAGAACTGCAGACAATACGGCACCTACCACTCATGATATCAGAGGTGCATTTCCAGGTTTCAAGCTCCCACCTGGTGACCTATACAATCTCCCAGTTTACACATCTCCTTCCTGTGGGATAGTTCATCCATTCAATAATGGATCAAACAGTCATGGAGGGGTAAAAGAATGGTGTCCTCTGAGGGTTTTTTCCTTTCCAAATTGTGAAGCTTGGAATCAAGCACACGGTAGTTGTGTGCCAGTGTCTCTCAACATTGCAGCCAAAATTTGATTGTTGATTCCACAGTGGGCCCTTGGTATCCACTGGGGTTTGGTTCCAGGACCCCACACAGATCCCAAAAACAGTCGATGCTCAAGACCAGGGGTAGGCAACCTTTTTGAGT